AAAAGCGCCTCATGCGGAACGTTATGTATAGCACGAAAAAATTAGCAAAATTAGCAACATTAGCAATATTTAACAAATTCAGCAAAATTAACAAAATGTTTACACTTTCGGAAAGGTTGAAAGAATTTAATGCTGCCAAAAAAACGCTTTCGAAATAGGGATATAAAGAAACAGAACGTGAAACTTGTCAGTAGTTCGCATACCTGCCCACTTTTAAGCGTTAACCCACAACACGATTGCAGCAAACATCTGTGTCACGAAAAAACATGTGTAAAATCTGGTAAAGGCTACTAATGAGAAACTACTTCTAAATTTTGCTTCCTTCGCGTAACCATATTTGCCTATACGCACGTGCATACATGTTTTTACGTGACACCACACCCTTTCTGCGGGGGCAAGCTGGTGTAGTGTCAGCATAGGATGCTTTCACCTCAGCACGTTTTCTCCGAACAGAAAAACAAAACGTGAAGCTGTGAAAAATGCAAAATGCTCATGTCTCTAACAAAATAAAACTAATACTGTGCCTCCTTTTTGCTGCCCTCCTCAAACCAAATGACGTAACGGAAGCTTATAATCCAGCTCGGAATACACAAAAATTGAACTACATATTGAATTACAAAAATGCCAGTAAGTACCACATAGATAATAGGATAAATAAAACGTTTTTTAAAAAAAAGGAACTTAAGGGAAACCCATTAAACAGCTTTAATGATGACGTGAAGACAATTAGGGAGGACATGTCGTCAGAGAGTTCTCCGGTGGAAAAGTACAATTTCAAAGCAGAGGTAAATAAAGTTATGGATATAATAGTCAATTCTTTATACACAGATAAGGATGTATTTCTGCGAGAGCTAATTTCGAACGCGTCTGACGCCTGCGACAAGAAAAGGATAATACTGCAAAACGAGAAACAAATGAAAGAAGCACAGAATATAGCCAACCCACCAGAAGTAGCAAAAAGTGACATAGAAGAATCAACTCCCGAGGGAGTTAACAAAGATGGAGAGATACAAAATAAAGAACAAGTTGATGAAATAAAAAAGCTAATCATAAAAATCAAACCAGATAAAGAAAGCAAAACGCTAACCATTACAGATAATGGAATCGGCATGGACAAAAATGAACTCATTAACAACTTAGGAACGATCGCTCAATCCGGGACTGCCAAATTTTTAAAACAAATTGAAGAAGGGAAGGCGGATAGTAACCTAATTGGACAGTTCGGAGTTGGTTTCTACTCCTCCTTTCTTGTGTCGAAAAAAGTGGAAGTATTCACAAAGAAAGAAAATACAATTTTTAGATGGTTCTCCGATCTGAATGGCAGCTTTATGGTTAACGAAATAAGGAAATATGAACAGGAATATGAAGACATAAAATCCAGTGGAACCAAAATTGTCTTACATTTGAAAGAAGAATGTGACGAGTATCTGGAGGATTATAAGTTAAAAGAACTAATCAAAAAATATTCCGAGTTTATTAAATTCCCTATCGAAATCTGGTCAGAAAAAATTGATTATGAAAGAGTTCCAGACGATTCGGTGTCCCTGAAAGATGGAGATAAAATGAAAATGAAAACCATAACAAAAAGATATCACGAATGGGAAAAAATTAACGTACAGTTACCAATATGGAAGCAAGACGAAAATAAGCTAACTGAAAATGATTACTATAGCTTTTATAAAAACACCTTTAAGGCATATGATGATCCGTTAGCCTATGTCCACTTTAACGTAGAAGGACAAATCTCTTTCAATTCCATTTTATACATCCCAGGATCCCTCCCATGGGAATTGAGTAAAAATATGTTTGATGAAGAATCAAGAGGAATTCGGCTCTACGTCAAAAGAGTTTTCATAAATGATAAATTTTCAGAATCTATACCCAGATGGTTAACCTTTTTAAGGGGTATTGTGGACAGTGAAAATTTGCCCCTAAATGTAGGAAGAGAAATTCTACAAAAGTCAAAAATGCTTTCCATTATCAACAAAAGAATTGTTCTTAAAAGTATCAGCATGATGAAAGGACTTAAAGAAACCGGAGGAGAAAAATGGAATAAATTTTTCAACACCTTTGGAAAATATCTCAAAATTGGGGTCGTGGAGGATAAAGAAAATCAAGAAGAAATAGCCTCCCTAGTTGAATTCTATTCCATCAATAGCGGAGATAAAAAAATGGATTTAGATACTTACATAGAAAATATGAAACCAGATCAGAAATGTATCTATTACATTTCAGGGGAAAATAAAAAAACGGCGCAAAATTCCCCCTCTTTGGAAAAATTGAAAGCACTAAATTATGATGTGCTTTTCTCCCTAGAGCCCATAGATGAATTTTGCTTGTCCTCCCTGACTGTCAATAAATACAAAGGGTACGATGTCTTGGATGTGAATAAAGCGGACTTGAAGTTAAAAAAGGAAAACGATCAAAACCAAACGGATAGTCTGGATAAGCTAAAAATGAAATACGAAGTATTATGCAGATGGCTACATAACAAATTTTCTCACAAAGTGCACGAAGTTCGGATTTCCGACAGGTTGATTAACTCTCCTGCTTTGCTAGTTCAAGGCGAAATGGGGATATCGCCCTCCATGCAAAAGTACATGAAACAGCAAGCCACCGCGCAAGGAATGTCAGAAAATGAAATGTTCGGGGGGCAGTCAGCCAATCAACCAGTGCTAGAAATTAATCCAAACCACTACATTATCAAACAGCTAAATCATTTAATACAAATAGATAAAATGAATTCTCAAAATTCAGAAATTGCAGAACAGATATTTGACGTTGCTTCCATGCAGGGGGGATACACCATTGATGACACAGGTCTTTTTGCAAAAAGGGTCATAGGGATGATGGAAAAAAATGCTCAGACTTATTTGAAGAATGTTCAGAGTAATCTGGACGACACACCTTCAGAGAGTAGCATATCTAGCAGTTCCGAGCAGGCTTCGAATTCGGCGCAGGATAATTCAACTCAAGGCAACGCAAGCGGGAGCAACGCAGGCGGGAGCAACACACGGGGGAGCAACACAGGCGGGAGCAACACAGGCGGGAGCAACACAGGCGGGAGCAACACAGGCGGGAGCAACACAGGCGGGAGCAGCCCAGCGCTTGACAATCCAACCAGTTCAAACCAGTCCGTCGGGTTAAGTGAACCCAACGCGGACGCAAGCAGCACGGGCGGACTCGGGGAAGAGAGATTGACAGCCACCAATTTAGACGTCTTGGGGGGAGACAACACAAGTGCAAATGCAAGCAACATAAGTGCAAACGCCTTAAGCGATAGCACCCCGAATGGAAATAATATGAACGACCGGGATTCAAACTTGTACAACATTGATCGAAACATTTTTAATGACAAAATGTTTAGCGGCTCGAACAAAACGGTCTTATGATGCCGACGTATAGGAGGAGTAGGCTGCTAATCGGCCACTTTAATTATCAACCATTTTTTGAATGCACACATGTGAGGCTGTGCATGTGCATGCACGTTCCACATAACTCAGTCGAGGAAAATTACAAGCATGTATATTTTCCCCAGTCAGCGCTTCAAGTGAAGTTTCACTCATTTGTCTAATCATTACAGTTACATATGTGTGTACATGTATATATGTTAATATGCATATGTATATATATTAATACGTATATATATATATTAATATGTATATCCTTTTTTGAATTTTTTCATTCTCGCAAATTCGTTTGGAATCTTCACGTGTGTACACATGACTGCTCTGAATTTTCCAAATTGCTTTTTTAATAATCCTTACTAAATTAAGAATTAAATTAACTCTGAAGATTTAATTATGCGCGTAATATGTGAACATTTTTATATGCATTTTTTTTTTCCCACTTGTAAAATAAATGCATATTCCTCCTCTTTACATTTAAAAGATACACACTTTCTTGTATCTTACAAATGTTTTCAAACGTTTGGACAGTTCCAACGCAATTTATTATTGTCCTTTTTTTTTTTTTAAGTTTTATGCAATTGTTTTTAATAGAATAATAAGTCGTACCCCTCGCACTTATCAAAAAGTGAGTGAGCTTCCTCAAATTGCGCATCTCCTTTGGGCATGTTCAAAATATAACAGTTTTCGTTGCTTGTGTTAGTAGATATATACACTTTTAAGGAATGCATTTTACTGTCCCCGGGACTGTAACGTATAGACGTCCTTTCAAAACAACGTCGTCTGCCCCTGTGCGAATGCATATAGATAGCTGCTCATGAAAGATGCAAAAATTCATCGACAAAGTTAAGCAGCAAAATGCACAAGGGGACAATTCCCCCAATAAGGTATTAGCGAACAAAAGGATCCAATTTAAGAATATACTGTACGAAATGGAAAAAAATGCAAAACTTTGAACTTGATTTGTCAAGAGAAAAAAAAAAATAAAATAATAAAATTAAACAAAAATGAGCAACTCTCTTCCGCACACAACCGTCTGTACACCTTCAAAATAACGCTTTAGGGAAAAGAAAAAAATAGAAGAAGACAAAGCAGAGCATGTCAAACTGTTAAAAATTGTTAAAGAGTACTATCGCACAAAGCTGAAAAGATTAGCATTTTCTGCAATTACAAATGATTATTATAAAATGCAGAGCCTTCTCTGCGTTCTTAAATTAAGCGATCTTCGGAGAAGGAGGAAACTCGTTTTTCTATCCTTTCTGTAAAACCAAAATGCGTATAAAAAAATGTGTATACAAAATGGATACCACAGCTCATGTTACATGTGTTTATCTTTTTTTTTTTTCTGCACCTCTTTTGCACGTCATGTTAAGGCATTTTTCCCGTTTTGTGCATGGACCGAATTCCCCCTCTTTAATTATATGTTCTGTTCACGCCTTCTTCGAAAGTTTCCACAAAAATGACCCCCAGCTTGTCGCAACTGCGCCTATGTTGTATGCTGAACATTCGCGATTGCTTAATTTTTTTTTTTCCTTACCAAAACAGAAAACATAAATGCTCAAGCAAGTTGACAAAATGTGTTGCCCAGTCGATCACCCGTTTCATTGACGCAAAACAGAGAAGAATCGTAAAATTCCGCTTCTTCGAAATTATCAAAAATAAATTCTTGGCCACCAAAGGGGCATATTTAAAAGTACAGCGTAGGCATTTACCCACATGAATTTGTCAAAACGTTAATTTGTGCAGACTTTTTCGTAATGCTACATATGCGCTAATGTGTGCCTTTATAAACACAAAATCTTTTTTTTACTTTTTTACTTATTTATTTATTCATCTATTTATTTATTTATCTTTTTTTTTTTAGATAAAAAAAAAGAGAATTGATAAAATTGTGACAAGTATATTTTACAAATGGTTGCACTTAACTGAAAAAAAAGTGGAAAACAAATTTGAAAAGGCACGTCTTTATTACATGCTGAGAAAAAAGCAGAAAACTTTTTATCTATGGAAACGAAGGATAAACGATGAGAAGTTTTTTAAAAAGGTAGATAAAATTTTTCTCAAGTTGGAAACAATTGTGTCTTCTTGGACAAAAAGGTGACATCATTCAGTAGTAACTTTCTTTATTTTATTTTATCTTATTTTACTGTCCTGTCAAATAATACATCCAACTGATGTCATCCTCCGACTTGATTATGAGCTTGCCTTAAAAAGGGAGCATACACGGAAATGTGCAAAAAGAAATGTCATTTTCGGAAAACTGAGTAAAAACGAACAGAAGCAGTAAAACCTCGATACATTTTTGTATATACACATATGTGCGCCCTCGCAGCACGCCATTCGTTTGAACATTCACGTTTGCTCTTACCAGAGATGGCACTTGTGGCTTTGCATTTGACTGGTATATGAAGTGTTTGGCGTCCTTCCACTTTCATGACTTCAAATGGGACAGAAAAGAATTCGTCCGTCTTGAGGAAAAAAAAGGGGCGAGCCAGAAATCAGGGCAGATAGGCACAAACAGGGGCATATTGACATATACACCCACGTGTATGCGCGCTCCAACGAAGTCGAACTTGTTAACTCTCACGAGGGCTTTATTACTTTTAAAAAAAACTGCTTCACGTGAAAGAACGGATTCGTAAATGAAATGAGTGTGGTTTTTTGCGACGAGCAGAATATCGGTCCCTTCGGTTTCGGTGCTACACTTTTCCCGATTAGGAGCCCCTACAAAGGAATTTAGCGTTACCAATGTGTTTAAGGGTGCAGCAGCGCATTGGGAGTATATATGTTCCCGTGCATAGGTGCCCTGATGCACGTATATACACGCGCGCGACGCTTTCTTCTTCGTCATTCGATCATTCCACTGTTCCACAATGAAACAGTGTGACACATTTTCATTCTTTTTTCATTTCCGCGCTTTCTTTTTTAACAACCTTGTAAATGATGCCCTCCTTTGAGAGGAGCTTCAAGACGGCTTTATTCGTCTTCACGTCGGGGGGATTATATTTGACGGTAAGGGTAATCTTCTCCGTCAAGTTATTGAGGGTCTCGTTCTTTAAGAAAAAATTTGTATCCACCGATTTAGCACTCACGGATTTGTCGACGCACTGGAATATCTGCTTCGAGTTTTTGTTCTCCTCGTCATAATCTTCTATGACCACATCGTAATTAATTTTCTGGTTGCACACATTTGTAAAAGATATTTCATTTATTTGAATAGACCCCAAATCAGTGTTGAAGTAAAAGTTATCTTCGAAATCGTTCATACTTACGTTGAGAATAAATTTAAATTTGTACGTTCCTGTTGTTTTATTAGCAAACGAAATGGTGACGTCTCTGTCAATCTCGTTTCTGACGATGCAGAAGTATATGTTAACATTATTATTTCTTTTCCTCTGGAGAATTATAGATTTGTCCAAAAATGCGTAAGTGTAGTCAAGGAGTGCATCCATTTTTATATCCTCATCCAGGGGGTTATAAATGCTCACTTGCTCTTTTAATATTTCTTTTTTATTTCCCTTTACATTTTTTATGGACAGGAATTCGCTTTTGGTTATTTCAAACTGGAGGAGGATCTTATACGCGTCTTCATATTTTTCATTCGAAAAGGTCAGCATCACATGGTACGTTCCTTCCTTCAATGATATGACTTTAAATGGCACGTTTTTCTCCTCCTTATTGGTTAGCTCCAACTTGTTTTGTATCTGTGGGTAGGGAAGTATAATGGGTGTTGGCATTTTTTTTCGCTCCACGGTTGCGCGATGAGGCGGGGGGGGAGGGTGCACTGCCTAATGGATGCTGCTACATGTTATGCATTTCGTGTAATTATACTTGGTTTAACCATGCCTTCTTCTTTTTTTTTTTTTCTTAATTTGCTTCCCCTTTAATTGGACGCCTAACTGCCTACAGCTGCACTCACGTAAAAAAAGAAGCAGTCGCTATGCGAAATGTTCAAGTCTTTGTCACAAACAAGAGACGAAACGAAGAGCGTCTGGTTTTCATTTATCCAATTCTTTATTCTGATGGAAGCACTGTTCAAAACCTTCGATTTGAAATTGAAACTTTTCTTCTTTTCGTAAGTGGTACTATTTGCATAGCCTAATAAGGTATAATTCTTCACCACCTCCTTGGGGTAATAAATTACCAGTTTGGATACATGATGAATTTGGGGAAAATATTTCAAATATTTTAAGCACAAAGTGTTGTGATAGTTATTACTGTTTTTCTTCCTTTTCTGCACAAAAAGAGGATTGTAAACAATTTGAAATGTTCCGCTTTCGTTCGGTTTCACAACGTCTTCGTGTTTTGCCAGCGAGAAAAAATTGTTCTCATTGGACAGGAACTTATATTTCATTTTAAAGTTAGATTCCGTTTCGTTGCATATTTCGATGGTCTTGCTTATCTGTTTTCTTATGTCCGTCAGGAATGTGACAATGGTTTCATTTTTTAAGCAAATTGCATTAACGTTTTTGTCGTCACAATGGGTGTTTTGGCTTTTTTCGGGGTGGTCTGCGCCTCGCTTTTTTCCCCCTTCATTTTGGGCCTCATCAACAGTGGCGGTGTTCCCATCATTGGCGGTCTCCCCATTCTGTACATTTCGCCCTGCAGTGATCAACTTCGAATTATTGACATCCCCATTCCTACACTTGTTCATATCATTACCCGTATTAATAAATATGTTTAAGAAAATTTTGCTATTGATTTTATTAAATTTGGGGAGCAAATCCACGAACACATCGTTCAGGAACAAATCCTTCGTTACGAAATCGGTGTCCACAAAGATGTAAATGCTTGTTATGTTGAAGGAAAAGATAATCCCCTTTTTTGGATATAACTGCAAGAATTTTTCGTATCTTTGTGGGTACACAACTTGAAACTGGGCGTTCATGTCGCCCCGGTTGTGCAGCTCGATTTTCTTGCCCTTTATGGAGTCGTTGCGGTACGCGCCCTTGAACAGCTTTTCCTTAACTTCGTCAACTTGGCTAACTTCTTCCGCTTGGCTAACTTCTCCCGCTTGGCTAACTCGAGTTGCGTCTGCGGTGCACAGCGCGTCCCCTTCTTGTTGCCCCTCCTTGTTGAAAGTGAGCAAATTCTCCTTCAGAACAATTTTGTAGCATATGCTTCTCAATTTAATGCTCGTTAAGTAATAGGCTATTCTTTTCCCCCGGTAGCATACACTCAGGTATAGGGGGATCTGCAGGTTAAGATACTTTTCGGGGAGGAACTTCACCTCGAATGTCTTTTTTTCCTTCTTCTTTAAAATGTGCAAAACAGAATTATCAAACTTGACAAACGAGAGGTAGTGCTTCTCTAAGTAGCCATAATTTAATACGTTAAAAGATATATCTTCTGAATTCTTATTGTGAAGTGTAAATTTTGAAATGCTTTCTTTATCTACATGTACATCCTCAAAATTAATTTCGTTCGAATTATTACTAGAAAAGGGCAATTTGAAATGCGTGGCTGATCCTGTTAGATGGATGTAAATCATTTTGTTCACATCTCCGTTTATCATAAAAGGTATTTTGTAGTTATAATTCTTTTCTTCATTTGGTTTAAATTGGATAAAAATACAGATCTTGCTTTTTCTTTTAAGATGTATCTTTTTTCGAAGGTTTGTTATAGAAAGGCATTCCTCATTCAGTTCATATTCTATGTAGCAATCCTCATCATTATTGTTGCTAATGACAAGTTTTGTTTCTACCGCATTGTTGTTTTCCTTTTCTGATAGGACGTCCATTTCGTAGTCTTCATGATATTTTTGCATCTTCGCCTCTTTACCTTTGGATCCTACATCATTGGTGACTTTGCCCCTTCCGCTTTTTATACTTTGGCTCAAATTGGCAGTGTTTGTTTTGCTTTGGTCTTTTTCCTGTTTTTTTTTCTCGCCTTTGTTTTTCTCCTTATCGGGTGTGTTTTTCTGCTTATCGGGTGTGTTTTTCTGCTTATCGGGTGTGTCTTTCTCCTTATCCGGTGTGTTTTTCTCCTTATCCGGTGTGTGTTTCTCATTGTTTCGCTTCTGTTTGTGGCCTTCTTTTGATTTGTCATCCCCTTTTTCCTTCTCGGCCTGTTCAGCGGCACCTTCCGTTTTGGCCTGGTCCCCCTCTTCGTCCATTTCATTCTGCGTATTATCCTTCCTCGTTTTCTTCGCTATACCCTCCTTCTTGTCCTGCTTCTCCCTTTTGTGCCTTTTCTTCTTGCCCTTTTTATGCTTCCCAGTCTCACCCTGCGCGTCTTGACCAGAGAGCGCCTTGGCTTTCTCCTCCTCGCGCTCCTTCACCCTCTTATCCCTTTCATTATTTTTGAAGGTATAAATCAAAGAAGATAGTGAGCTATCACTGGAGGAAAAACTCTCTTCGCAGCGCTGATCTATGTTCGTTATCCCCTTCACCTTAGTGTTGTCATCCAAAACGGGGAACAAAATAACGTTGCCAAAGTCATAATTATAAAAGGAAAAATTAATTAAAAAGCTAATCGCAACTGCAGTGATTTTTAAAGTAAGGAGATAATAGTCCATAATATTAATGGTCAAATAGTTTACATATGTTTGGTTCTTCAAAGGGTTATATTCAACAGAAATGGAATACGTGGAGTTCTGGGGAATACAATCCCCAGTGCACTTTATACGAATTTCTTCATCCTTTTTTTGTAAGTGGTATTTATAAACCAAATCGAAATTACCCAAATTTTCAATAACAAATTTGGAGTCTTTTTTTCGTCCTATTAAGGTTTCTTTAAAATCTATATGATCGTAAATATGGATCATGTGATTTTTATATTTCTTTTTCTTTGCACTCCATGTGCAGTCCTCCAAATTTAGTTGCACTTTCTCCTTATTGAAATTTTCAATGTAGCAATTTATATTAATTTTACTGACCTGAGTTTTGAAATTAATCTGTAGGGGTTCTTCCTTTGACGCTATTTTACATAGCAAGTTAAAATTGTAGAACTGTTCGAGGTGTGGTTTGAAGAACAGCTTGATTTTTTTACACCTTCCTTTTCCCCGCATATGTTTAATGTCTCTTACAAATCTGTTGCTATCGTTTTTCCATATATTTCTCAGGTAATAATTCAGCAGGAAAAACTTACTGCTGTGAGGGATGTCATCCTTTCCTCTGTTTCCCTCTGGTAAGCTCACGCACTCTTTGCTATTCCATTCGCTATCTGACTCACTGCCAGAATCAGACGATGTATTTATGTATTCCCATTGTGGAAAATGTGCTGGGAGGATGTATTCCTTCTTGTACCTTCCATATAGCATGGTTCGTTCATTTTTCGCCCTCTGTTCTACTTTATTTTTCCCAGAAATGAGATTTGATGAGGATTCCGACACGTCCGACGAATTCGTGAACGAGCACGACAAGTTGTCACTACCGCTGTTCAGCCTAATATTCTCATAATGGTTTACGTAATTGACCTTTATCCTTTTTTTTACCACTTCCCTCTTTGCAATTAACGCACCCTTGTTATGAATATCACTCGGAATACCGCTTCCATTAGAATCACTTTCGTGCGAATTGCTCGACGTGGAAGTCGCACGAGGGGATGAGTTCCCATCCGCGATAGTTCCCTTTCTATCGGAATCGTCTACAGCTACAGAATTATCCTCATTTAGTTTTCTTATCTCCTTGTACATGTGCTTATTCTTCCTATAGCATGATTTCACAACGCCGCTAAAAGGAACAATCTTGATGGTCTCCTTTTTGCTGTTAAACGAGTTGTACGAATTTTGGTCAAACTCAAAGTTGATGTCCATTAGGTCAAAATTGATAAGGTAAAAAACAAAGCAGTAGCTTCTTCCTAATATTAAATTGTTGATATGTATAGAGGATGTATTAAAAAAGATTATGGGTTCAATTACCTTGAGCTGAAAGTCGATGGATTGCTCTTTTTTATCATTTACATAAAGGTTGTAGCGTCCACTGTAGTCCATGGAATTGAAAATGTTAAACAGGAATCGGATTAGGGAAAAGTTATTTTCTTTTACACACCCTTTATAGTTAATACACTCAGAATTGTTGTCGTTGTTGTTGTAGTTGTTCTTCTTCTCCTTCTCATTCTCGCTCTTCTTATTTTCCTCGTTCTGTTTTCCGCTACTCATCAGAATGGGGCTTCTTCTACCTGCGTTTCCTCCTACTTCGCTCATTTTCTCGAAAAAGTACTGTAAGCTCTCGTTCGAAATGTTCAACATGTATATTTTATAATTTATTTTTTTTAAGACTCCCCTGCTGAGTAGAAGAATTTTGTGACTCTTTTGGACTGTTTTCTTCTGGTCCACGTTCTGCACAACACGGTTGTGATTAGAATCTGCCAACACAACTATGTTGCTGTGATCGTAATTTTCGAATGTCATCTTGATCGGTATGCTAATTTGGTTGTGGAACTTTATCCTTATGTGAAGCACGGCGTCGAAAGCTTTCATGTACATGTGGTGAAAGCAAAACAGTTCCAGGCGCTTCTTGTGCTTTCCCTTGATGGTTATGTATTTTTTTATAACCCTGCATGGCTGCTGTGGTTTGGTCGTTACATCTCCACTTCCAATTATTTCGCTGCATTCTCCAATCACGTCGTTCTCCTCGGTGTGCGTTTCGTTAAATCCGCTTCCTTCCCCGTTGCGTGGATTATCTCCAAAATCGGACAAGGTCAAGTCGTACTTGGTTAAGTAAAACTCGTCGATGGGTTTATTTTCGCCCGTCTTATCCGCTGCATGTACCTCATTAGGGTTAACAATTACGTGGTTATCTTCACTTTTGTCTGTTTCTCCTACCAATTCGTTAACTTCCAACGCGTTTTTAATGTGTCCCCCTTCGTTACGATTGGCTGGCCAGTCCCCCAATTGTTTTGTCTTCTCTCCAGTAACTCCCTTCATTAGGAGATTTTTATCCACCCTATTCATTAACGAGGTAACCCTTTTCTCGCTAAACGGGCGGAAAGAATAAACAGACGTTATGTCATCCAACCCGTTTAATGGCACGATGTTCAATTCGACATATACTTTTACATTGGACATATTTTCCAGCACCAATTCGCTCTTGGAATAATTAAAGAAGGGAACATTTTTGAAAATAATTTTTTTTTTACTACAGTAAAATTTTACTTCTTCCGAGGTTAAACTTACGTATAAGGAATCATTATACACTCCATCTTCATCTTTCACTTTGTGATTTTTCTTGTTAAAAGGGTTTGCAGAAAACTTAAACGAGATTTGCTTGTTCACCAAATTGATGGCTTCTCTTATGTCAATTTGACCACAGAACGGAAAGGAGCTATTCGCTGGTATGGAGCCACTTAAAGGCCTGATGTCAAGGACACATTTTATCTTTTTTTCCACCTCTACATGGAAGAATAAATCGTGGTTATTGTCGTTCACATAGGGAACCCTAAATGAGTGGTTATACCCCACAGGTAAAAGATCAAAATTGATGTGATTTTTAAAAATGTCCACATTTTTACCGCTATACACTTTTCTTATGCTACTCTTTAAGAGTTCTAAATTCCAGTAGTTCTTCGTTTCTAGTATATTTCCGAGGAACTTTAAATTGTAAAATTCGTAGTTATTATTGAGCACGCTAATTTGTATGCTTCCTAAAAGTTGTTTTTCTTGGCGAGCGCTCAGAGCAGTCGTTGAAAATTTGGTTAAGTTTCCTCGCACATTATTTGCATCCTTTTTTTTATCGAGATCTTGCCTATTCATCTTTTCCTTAACACTTTTTTTCCCATTTTCATTGTCTACTTCTAATCCCTTTTTGTTAAGCTCATCGTTCGGGGTAGTTGTCTGCTCAATGGCATGGATCTCCTTTGGAATGTCATCCATCCCCTTAGACTCTTCGCCTTCTATCCCTTTTACGCTCCCCCTTTGTGTGTTCCTTCTCTTTATCATTTCTTCCAACTTATTTTTATCTACTTTTATTTTAATGCTTTCCACTTCGTTTTCCCTTATCATGTAGTTGCTGTGGCCTATGTAGTAGAGGCATCCCAAACTGAACATGTGCATTTGTTTGTCCGTTCTCTTGTACAGCAAATCTTTAACATTTTTGTAGTGAAAGTAGGTGGTGTTGTTTCTTCTGCGCAGTTCTACATGGTCACCAACGGTGGTAAAAAAGGAGCTGCTATTTCTGGCATTATAAATATCTTTCTTTTCCTGCACACATGTCTGATAGTTTTCGGCGTCACAGGGAGTGCTTCTGTCATATGTGGACTCTGAAACGTTGCTATTTTTTGCGTTCCCCTTTTTGTGTTGCTCTTCTTTTGGGTCATTCACCAGGTTGATACTTGTAGCATGCCCATTTTCATTAAAGGCTTCCTCTATATTGGATAAACTTTCCAATTCGGCGCTGCCTTTTAGTTGTCCCTTCCGTTCCTCCATACCCCGCCAGCCATCTAGCATCAAATTAACCCTTTCAAAGAAGACCTCTACAAAGATAGGATACTTGAAGCAATTTTTTAATCTCACTTTAAACGAAATAACACTGTTCAGGTGGATATCCCCCAAATCGTAGATCTTATCTTCTTGGCGCTGCTTCAGCAAGCTTTGTGGAATGATCAGATTAATGGAGGGCAAAAAAAATTCTACACTTATGTAAAACGAAAAACATAACAAGTTTTGCTGATTTGTCAGGTGGATATTTAAGAGAAATTTTTTACTTCCTATTTGGTTTGAATAAAAACATATGTCTAAATATTTGTGCTGGTAACGCGAAACCCCTGTGGTGGTGCTGAGAGAGGAGGACGCACCACCGTAGGTGACACCAGGCCCTTGTTCATTCAATTCGGTCAAACACCACTTTGACTTTATTTCATTGTCATTTTGAACTCGCATGTTAAAACGGATGGGGGATGATTGTTGGGGAGTCACACTGGATCTTTTTGGTTCGTTTTCGTTCTCTTTTCCCTTGTCCCCCCGCTTTTCTCGTTCCTTTTCTTTTCCCTTTCCGCTTCTATTCCTATAGTTGGCAAATTCCAGTTCCTTAATTTCTACATGAACCTTCGCATTTACATCGGACGTGTTGCAGATCTTTATTCGCTCATTAATGCACTCATTCACGTGGCACCATCTTAAGTATAGCGTATTATCATCTGAATTATAGTAGCTGTTCTTGCCTAAGAAATGATCTAAAAAGTTGGCATAGCCTTCTGTTTTTTCTAATATCAAAACTTCTTCGAATATGTTTTTCACATCGCAGGAAATGGTGGGCTTCACAGACGAGGCAAAAATTTTAATCACTTCTCTGTGATTGTCAGTGTGTTGTCTGTTTTCCCTGTGCTCCTTTTTCTTACTATCAGTATGAAGCGTGTCCCACATGAGGTTCTCCACCTCGACAATGTAGACAAATCTGTACTGCCTCTCTTCGTTCGAATTAAACAGAACCATGACGGTTTCCTCCCCTTTGGACTTCACCAAACCGCTAATTGGTGAAATGGAAAAGGGGCTTTTCAAATCGGCATTTGCATTATATGGCACACATCCAACGTTGTTGTATCGTAACACCCCATCCTTTTCTGCGTTCTTTATCTTACTCTTTAACAATTTTATCTCGTATTTAAAATCAAAATGTCCATCATTGATGATTTTAAAGAATCGGGTTTCTTCCTTCTTAACCTCCACAGAGTCATAATTAAGAATAGAGGGGATAACTCTAACATAGTTATAATCGAAAAACACAGAAATGGCATATTTGTACGTTTGAATGTGATTGTTGTCCATGTCGTAAAAGTGTATCATGAGAGGCACATTTTGAAATTTGGCCTTCCTACCTGATCTTACCTTCAGTTTTATTATTTTCATTTCGTTCGAATTTACACTATCAGTTAGACATTCCATACTTACATAATTTAAAAAGGAGTCGTCATTTAATTCTGCTACGTAGACTATTTTGAACTTTCCTGTATTTTTTACTTTGAACAAGCATGCTTTGGTTTGATTTACCTCCACATATTTGAAGTTAATGTCTTCTTCTAAAACGTTCCCTAGGTGGGAAGGCAACAGTTGCTTGCTCTTTGGCGAGACCACTTCCATGGCAGGACGGTTATGCTTGGATATGATCCTCCCAACGTCGGCACCCTCAGTTAGTGGGTCGAATTTCTCCTCCGCATCTTCCTTCACAATTTCGGTACTTACTTGAATGAAGGACTTGCAAACTTCTGCTTCCACCGCGAGGGATGTGAAATAAACGTTGTTCCTCATTTTGTCACTTTTGCTGAAATTCTTCTCCACATAGTAGATTTTTATTTCTTTCTTTATCGTATTGACACTATCCGTTTTGATGGTAACTGTTAACGTTTTTTTTTCATTTTTTAGTAAATTTCCTTTTGTAGGATTTATGGATAATGGGGAGTCGCTCCTCAACTCGGCAGGGTCTACAAACCAGGCAAGGTCGCAGTAAGTACAGTTCTTCATTTCTACACTTTTTTGCTGAACTGAGTTCAGAAGAATTTTGGGAAAGTTTAAGAAACTTTCGTTCATTTTCAGGCAGCACTTTATTCCTTCCCCCTTTAAGGACAGAGAGAATATATCATACAAGTAATTGTCAACCTGTTTGTTGGCTAAGTCTATGTCGTTCGAGAACAGGCTATCACAGAGTGGTGCGCTGTCCTTCTTTTTGTCCCCATTGATCATCTCCTTTTGGTAATTTATATCTGCTGCCGCATTTGTTACAGAATATATAGACAGCTGCAATTTTTCAAAAAAGGGACCCACCTTTTTAGGTAAAAACAAAACGATAATTTTTTTCCATTTCTTAGAAAGAATGAAAAACTTCTTCGGGTACACATAAAAATCGTTATTGCTTATCAAATTATCGGCACGATTAACTTCATTCGCCTGGTAATCTTTATCACTGCTGCAAGGCACATTGTCAAAAGAAAGTTCGACAAAGCAGTCGAAGTAAGAGGAGTTAAATAAATTTAAAACCTGCACGTGCTTATACAAATGTTTAGAAATTTCGTTATTTTTCATCCCATCTGACTTCTTCGATTTGTACTTGTCCTTTTCGTTGCTACTGGAGTTGCTCAAAATGGGTGTAATATTTTTTCTTCGCATTTTTGCTACTTTAAATTTGGGAGAATTGATATCTCTAAAAATTTTTAAAAAATTTAGGAGGTGCTCTTCACACTCGTCTTTTAACTCCGTTCGGATGATATGCTTAAATGAGTGGACATTTCTTCCTATCAGTACCCGGTCAAAATTGTACATCTTTTTGCACAAAACAAAGCAATTACTTCTGGGGGCACACATAACAACGTTGTTGCTAAATATGAAATACGGATTGGAGTAAATCCTAGGCTTATCAATCACCACAAGTAGATTTAAATAAAAGTAGTTCCCAAGAAGGTCTATTAAGCATATTCTTTTTTTTATGTTCACTATTTTGTAGGTGTTAATTTTTACGTTTATTTCGGTGGATGTGTTTTTTTGCAACATTACGTGGGTTATATTTCTGTGTCGAATTTCGTCCCTCTTATCGTAGGAGTTGTCTACTTCTAAAAACTCGATTATGTAATGGTCTTTTTTTTTCCCCCTTTCTCCCGCTTCACCTACTGCACGTGCGTTTCGAAAGTTATAGAAAATGTGGTCATATTCATCCTTTATCTCATACTTTTTTTTTTTCAATTCTTCAAAATAAGCCTCCTCCGTAAGTTCCTTTCCCCCGTAAAGGTACAGCTTCTTCACATCACTATCGTCGGTTGCGTTTCTGTTGGGTGTTTCCTCTCCTTCTTCGCTTTTGTTCTCGATCTTTTCTTCCTTATTGTCGAGGTCGTTTCTATCTTCCGGCGCTTCATCCCCTGTTTTGTACTCGCTCTTGTCTATCTTCTCTTTGGTATCCTTTTTTTTTTCCTTTTCTTTTTTCCTTCCCTTCCTTTTCTTCTCTTGCATTTCGTCTTTTCTTTTGAGGTGTTCCTTTTCTTTCTTTTTTCCCCCTTCTTTTTCACCTTCCTTATGGTTCTTCTCCGTCTTTTTTAGGGGATCCCCAAGTAGGTCCTCCTCCTGTACTTTCCCCTTTTGTTGTGTCTCGCACTTCTCCTTCGTATCAATTTCCATCTTTTTCTCCTCCTCCATCTTCTTCTCCTTTTCTCCCTCGACTTCCTTTCCACTTCGCTTCTTCTTCTTCTTCCGCCTTTTCTCCTTCTTCTCACTTTTGTACTCATCCCCTTCGCCCTCAAGTTTGTCCTTTTGGTTTTCTTCCTTGTCTTCCTTTGCGTCTTTTTCTCTTGTCTTGTCTTCTTTCTTCTCCTTTTTCTTCCTTTTGGATTTGCCTGTCTGTAACTCGTTCTCTACTCGTGCATCTTGCTTTTCCCTATTATGCAGTGCCTCTCCCTTTTGTAGTTCACCCCCGTACTCTTCCTCTTTTACCACTTTGTCTTCTTCGTGCCCGTCTTTCCGAGCCACCACTCCAGCTTTCTCCTTCTCATTGGTACCATAAAAGTTGCACTCGCATTTTTCCAAATTCTTTCTGGTCTGAAGGAAGCTCTGCATATTAAAGGCGTCGTACATCTTGGGGGTTGGGATGTCAAAGAAGTAGGCGGACGTTTTTACGTCTCTATATTTTTCCTGGACGATTTTGGAAATTTCGTTCAGAACATTCCTCTTTCTAAAGCATAATTCTTCGTTTATAAAAAAGTAAAAGAAGTTGACTTGAACAAATTTTTGTTTTAAGTACCTGATCAGTTCTTCATTTTTGTTAACAACTGTTTTTACACTTTCCTCAACTTGGGTGCAACGTTCCGCTGCATCTCCGTTTGGTATTTTTTCGCTGATGGCATTTCTGTTTTTGCCTCCGCCGTTTCCCTTCTGAACATTCTGCGAATCAAATTTTTTATTGATTTTGTTTGTCTCTACTGCTTTGATGGTACTTTCTGCGACTTTGCCAACCTGCTGCTCCTCCTCCTTTTCGGTCTTCTCTGCCGTTATCTCTACCCCATCGATGACTCGACTATTTATGCTTTTCAATTCTCCGTCTTCTTGATATATTTTTTCCACAAAGTTTTCACTAAGTTGAATGTTTATTCTCCTTACGTACATGTTACTTGTTTTTTCTTTGCCAATTTGTGCTGTGTCATTATCAGTTGCTTCTCCCTTTTCCTTGTTACCCGCCAGAGGGTCCGCTAGATCTGGATCCTCCAACTTGTTAGAATTGTCATCCGTTCCCTTCCTTAAATGATCTCTCAATAAGTTACGCAATACAATTTTTAATTCTTTGTAAAATGACACATGTTCCACGTAGTCGTTCTTCATGTAGCTATTTATTTTGCTCACCTTTTTATTATACTTGATAATTTTCTCATCCACTTGTGCATTTCTTTCAACACAGTGAGTGTTAAGTTGGCCAATTATTTGCTTATTCAGGATTTTTTTCTCTTTGCAAATTACGATTTTTTCATACAGCCTCTCCACAGCTCTGTGCACATTCGCGTTGCAACACTGTACGTCTTTTTTCGTGCTTGACCACTTTTCTCTTGACATGTCGCTATCCTTTGTGTCTTCCCATGGATCACCTTTTTTAGAGCATCTTAGCAATTCATCTCCGTCTTTTTGCTCAACGGATGAAGAATATTCCCCCACTTCTTCTGTTTTACCTTCTAAGTTGGCGTTTTTCCGTTCCTCGTCAGTGTCCCCCTTCTTGTTCTCACTGCCATCCACAGAGTATGGAACCAGTTCAGCTTTGCCCCAATCGGTGTGTCCTCTTAAGGACTCCATTATTTTTTCGATTTCCTGTTTCTCTTTTAATTTACGCTCAATCTTCTCTTGATATTTTTTGGTCATATTTTCATAAAAGTATTTAAGTCGTTGTGCGTCCGTTGTTGGGCTGTCCTTTGCGTCGTTTCTTTTTGCCTCCTCGCTTTTCCCATCTTTGCCTCGTTTTTCAACCGCGTCTTTCCCCTTATCCGCGCCGCTAGACGGGTTAAAAAATTCCTCATACCCTTCCACTGGGTTCAAATAAATTATATGATTATTCTCATCCGAGGTGAGCCTCAAAAATGTGGTGAAAAAACACTCCGAATTTATGTATTCATTTTTTTTAAAGAAAAACACCGCGCCATTCATGTATAATGGGGATAGTAGCAGTTTCTTCAGGATTATCTGAAACAGATTTGCCAAGGTGCTATTCTTTTTGTTAGAATTTTCTCCTTTGTTTTTTTTCCGTTCCGTCATGGTTAATTTTAATAATGATTTCACGTCACTCATAAACTCTTCATCGTTGAGGAGGGCAAAGTGAAAAAAGTGCTTCAGGAAATCAAAATTATGTCTCAAGTTGTACTTGTCAAAGAATGCCTTCTGGTCCAACAAGCTACCACCATCATTGTTTTTTCCGTCGTCATTCCTGCAGTTGTTTTTTTTCCTATGCATACTTATCGCATGTTTATTGTCTATCTTAGATTTTATGCTTCTTAAGTTTGGTGTTTTTTTGAATTTATTTTTTCCCAAATTTGAGCAATTCCCGTCTTTTTCGTTATCCCCCTTGGTTTCCTTTGCAGCATATGCATCTTTATTTGTGATGTCTACTCGCTCGTTATACGTACCTCCCTTTAAAATTAGGTGCGAGTCTTTATTCTCAATTATTTTTATGCCGTCATTCGTGTTTACGCCGTCAATCGTGCTTATGCCATCATTCGTGTTTATGCAATCTTCGGCTTGCTCGTGGTCCCTTTTTTTCTCTCCCACATTTAGCACTTCAGTCACGTAGTAGTCTAAGTTGTTCTGATGCGTTCGCCCAGGAATTGCAGAAAGGCCCGAACAGGTCGCATTCGCTGCATCCGCCGAGTTCGCCAAACCTTCGTGCATGCTTCTGTTAGACTTCCTTACCTTTTTGATAGAATGCCTATTCCGGTTTATGTTCCTCTCGTGGATGATGTAATGAATGAAGTTGCTTTTCACGCTAGACGGGTAGTTGTTCTTCTCGTTAATCTCGTTACACCATCGTATTATCTCTCCAATCGTTAGGAAGTTATCACTCTCAGGGTAGCTACTCGTTTCTGTTTTTCTGGGGGGAGAAAAATTCAAAACGGTATTGTTCAGCAGGTAGCTCCCAATCCCCTTATGATTCACATATTTTGGACAAATGAGCAGGAAATTCTGTTTTATTTTCTTTTTCATCTTTATTATTTTTAAATATTCTTCAAAGTAATTGTACTTCGTTTCGTTTTTCTGTATAAGTTCCTCTAAGATGGCAATTTTATTTTCTAAAATTTTCATATTCCTTTGTTGGTCACTCGGGGCTGCAACTACACCGTTTGGATCATCTTTTTTTGCAGGTATACAATCGGCTAGTATATCATTCAGTTTTTCCTTCTTGTTTGTTAATTCATCTGTTTCGTCATTCTCTTTTTCCCTTTCCATTTCATTTCTCTTTTTTGATTGATATTTTTCCTTCTTGTCTTTGCACTGCGCTTCGGCAGGTTTACTTCCTTTTTGGCCCTTTACAGGTGGGTGTTTCACATGTATGAGGTCTCTTTCGACTATTTTTCTCTCATCATGCGGTTTGAAATCCTCCCCTTCGTGTGTGACTCCCTGGTGGTCCTCTATGCTATGCCAACCTTGTGTGATATAACTATTTACGTCACAGTTCGGAGCGCTTCTCCCCCCTTTGTCGCAATTTCTTATTCGATCTAATTGCCTTCTGTACACACCCACCAAGTAGTGCATCAAATTGCTATAGAAAAAATCACCTTCGTCGTTCTTTTCAATGTATATATGTGAGTGGATGGCTAAGAGATCATATAGGAAGCTTTGAAAGTACTTATAGTAGTTATCCAAGTTGTAAATAAACAGATACTTGGAATAGTTGTTTAAGTTGGCAATTCTCATTTTGTGGTGTACACTTCCACTGTTGAGGAGGAGAGGTTTGACAATAATGTCACTGGGTTCAGCCTGCACATGATCTCTAACGCTGTTCAGATAAGCGTCCATGCTTTTCGTAAAAGTGGAATGATAAATAAACAGTTCGATACTTATTTTGGCATTTTTATAAACATCCGAAGGCTCAAAGAATATGCGAATGTCCAAAAATGAATTACTTTTAATGATCCCCTTACTGGGTATTATAAAAATTTGGGCCCTTTTTTTTAAGTGATAATATTCTAACTTTTTATTATGGAAAATAATATTTTTCACTTTAAATTTTACATTCACATTTTTGGCATTTATCAATCGGTTCGTTTTACATAAACACCTTTTCACTTGCACTTTTTCAAAATGAATTTGTCTATAATATAGATGGAGATCCGGGATGATGTAATTAAATTTTATATCCACCGTGTAGTAGTTCTTATCATTCATGCATATGAACATTTGTTCTGAAAATAATTTTTCCTTTTCACACTTATTATCAATTATAATTTTCAAGTTGATGGAATGCCCCTTATCTATTTCCTTATGTTCGCATGCTAATGTTATTATGTCCTTCATTTCGGGATTCCCCAAATGGTAACTTAATTTTACTTTGTCTTTACTTAAATTCTTTAGCGTAATTATACCCTCCTTCTTTTCTTTAATGGTTACATTGCCCATATTTAAGCAGACCCGTTGCAGCTCGGTGTTGTTTTCTAAAATTACTCGCTTCAGGTATTTTAGGAGGTACTCGTTGCTCGCGTAGCCGTGGCAGGAGAGCTTTTCGAAGTTGGCTGCGGGGGGCATGGAAAAAAAGGGGCGTGCAAAAAGGGGCATAGAAAAAAGGGTCATAGAAAAAAGGAGCATAAGCTAAACAACGTTGCGCAAGCTATACAAACCGTACAAGCTACACAAGGGACAAACGATACAGACTTGAAGCGCTGTTTAGAACAATGCAATGCATCGCAGCGTGAGCACAATCACCCCTATCGCATGCATTATCAAAGTTGGAAAACATGTTTACCTAACTTCTTCAACATTGAAAAGCTCCCGAGAATGTACTTGTCATCCTTTTGGTTCAAAATGAAGGATTTCAGCAAATCGGAAAAGATACCACAAAGATCGCTGTTTTTCGCGCAATAGCTTTTTAAGATGCCTATGAGGTTGTACCTGCGCTTGGGGCGTTCGGAGGAGTCCATTTTTTTAGTTGAACCGCCGGATAAGCTGTCCATTTGGTTCGCCCTGTGGACTTCAACAGATTCGCCCGATTTTCCCGCTTCGCTAAATTGATCTGCTTCACCCATTATGCCCATTCCTTCGTCATTCCTCTCCGTGTGCGCCCCTTGCGCGCTAGCTCCGCCCAGGCGGTCGTGATAAAGGGCCAATATTTCTTCGATATGCCTGCCGAGGGACAGAAATACCCCCGCGTAGCTGGCTTTCAGTTTTTGGATAAGCCCCTTTCGCTGATTTTCATAATGGGAATTCTCGTCATCAGGTAAAAAGGCTTTATTTATCAAGCTGTCTATGGGGTTAAATTCGCTCTTCTTTCTCGCCCCGTCTTTCGTTTCGCGGTTTCGATCACATTCTTGCGGGTATACTTGATCCGCTAGTTCTCCATTTTTCCTATCAGCACATCCATCTGCAACATCTTGCACGGTTAGAATCAACACATTCGAGTTGTCCTTTGAACGTAAACTCACTTTAATTTCCTCAAAATTGCAAATTTTCAGCAAAATGGTCTCCGTCACATTTTGAGGAATACCAGGTATGAAGTAAAAAATGATATCCTTACTGTTGTGCGGCTCGATAAAAAAATTATTCACATTTGTATACAGTAGAGAAGGAAATTTTATATTATAAACAATTTCAACGAAAAGTCTAATTTTCCCTGTGTTTTGGATGGTTAGCAAATCTTCCCCAACGGATTTATAGTGCATATCATAATTCAACTCCCTCTTGTTGATGCTATATTTAATGTCAGAATATCCACCTATCAATTTGAGAGGATACACGGGGCCATTCCTAATTTGACATAATACATTAACATTGTAATACGTTTCATTTATGCTGTTATAAGTAAGCGTTATTTGTTTTGTCTCATAGGGCAGTAAAAAACCTCTATGGGGAATTATATTAAAAACTTGATTAAAATTTGGATACATATTATTTTCTTCAAAAAACCACTGGAAGTACACTTTAAAATTGCACACATTTTTGATTTCCACTGTTTCTTGGGCAAATAAATTTTTTAAAATGTACTGAAAGTCTATAGAACTTTTACTCATCACAATATTGGGATATATCGTCTTCCCAAACAATTCATATTTTTGTCTTCTTCCATTTTCCACAAAGTGGACGATCAGATGATCTTGATACGTGTTACTAATTTTGTTATTCATAAAATCCACGTCAAAAAAGATTCTTTTTTTTTTTTTTTTCCATTGGTCTCAGTTCTATTATTTCTTGCTCCACAGAAAACGGCAATTTAGTGGACAAGCTGAACTTTACATTTGCATTTCGCAAATTCTTCATTTCGACTTCTTGCATTAGTTTCTTCATATTTTTCGAATGGGTAACACGCTGCTTTGGTCTGTTTTCTCCGCTTTCGTCTGCACAATTTTGACACTTCTCCGGGGCTTGGTCTTCCCAATCGTCTTTTTCCAGCCCCCTTCGCTCATTAAAGTCATAAACAAAATTGGAAATGCCGCATATTTCGATCTCCGGGTGAACGAATGAAGCTTCTATTTTTATTTTTTTAAAACTAGCACACACTTTCTTCTTACCGATTGTATCTTCATGCACGTAGAGAATATCCTCGCACTTCTCCTCTTTGCAGTTGAGCGCGCTTACAATACACACCGCTTCGTTGCCCCCCTTGATAGACACGCTCCTTGGGGTCACGCCAAATATTTCAGGGCTTTCATTTTTTTTCTTTCTTTTCTTTTCGGATTCAAAGAGGAAGTGCAAGCTCCTTTCGCTTGTCCCTCTGTTGGAGATGATCAGCTCGTGGACGTATTTTTTGCTCGTGTGAATGACTTGGAAGTTTAGTTCGCTTTGGTTGACCAGGATGGGCGATCCGACTCCCTGCAAGGGGGGAAGCGGTATGGCCATATGGGAATTTGGCCGTATGGCGGTATGGTCGTATAGCGGTTTGGCCGTATGGCCGGTTGGCCGCTTCCCCGCTTAACTGCTTGTTGGTTGCACTATTTGGTGATGACCCACTGGCGGTCACGCATCTTGCGCCCCCCTCCGGAGCGCAGAAACCCCTACCTGGGCCTTCAGGGGAACCAAAATGTCCTCCTTCCGATGGACATTCACCCGCAGCGTGTCTGTGTACGCCGTGGTGTCTACGCACTCAACACAGACAGGAACAAAAACGGATTCGTGTGGTTCTATATAGAAGTTATTTTTCGAAAAGCTGAAAACAGGTAGCTCGTTGGATAAGTTGATAAAGGTATTAATCGGACTTTCATTTTTTATTTCAATGACTTTTTCTTTTACATCTAAACAGTTGCATTTTTCAAAGTCAATTATACTAGGAATAATTTTTACGGTGGGGCAAGTGCAGTAAGCTTTAATATTTGCAAATAGAAGATCATCACACCCGGATATTTTCACCTTAACCACGATGAGGATGTACCCTATAATTTTGCTCTTTATGCTAATGTTGACACTTTGGTGATGGTTTCTTCTGATCACTCCATCCTTCTGAGAAATGTGCAAGTCGCATATGTGGCAGATTTCTTCGTCCACAAATAATTCATATTTCACATCCGTGTTTTCCGACTTGTTAATGAGGTTAATTTGTTCACTGTACATTTTATCTATAATCATAGGTTCTATGTTTAGAAAAACGGGTTCGCATAATACTTTCGGCTTGGAACAGATGGCACGAAAAGGTAGATTCTTTTTATAAGTTTTAATTTCACCTAGATAAAGTTCTACACTCGTCATGTATGTCTTTATGTGTTTAGGGCAAAATGATAAGATGATTTGTTCTTCCCCAAATTTGTTCAACTTGTTACAATTCTTTTCAATTTTTACTTCATCTTTCAATTCGTTAGGAATATTAAATCCGTAATGAAGAGTCAACTCCGATTTGTTAACTATGGTAATAATTTTTTTGTACTCAAAGCTGTGTGACACTTGATTAAAGTTTATTTCTTCTACGTCTAATAGGATTTGCGGAAAATTGCACTTACTCACTACCTGTAATTTTCTTTTTACATTTGTATACTTCTGATGAATTATGAATGTCTTCTCTGATGCTCCATTCACTTTTGGCATATATACCATTTCGAGGGAGTGGGTAGAATTTTTCCGTAAAGTAAACTTTCTTCGTGCAACTTCAAATTCGTTATAATTATCCTCTACTTTTTCTATTTTCATGGGAACATCAAACTGAGTGTTGTTTACCATTTCGAAGGATAGCCTTCTGCATGTGTTAATGAGAATGTTGTCAATTTTGTGGATCCTCTCTGTTATGACAATTTCGGGTGCTATACTTTTTAAGTACACAACTATTTTTTCTTCCTTCTTGTATCCTCTTATAAATAGGAATATTACTATTTTGTAAAATGAGGCAAATTGGGGAAGCAGTGCAAGGGTGATGGGGGTGTTTGTGTCGCTGTAGAGTTTCTTGCACTTAGGGGATATGTCTATGATTTTTTTTTTTTTTTTTTACGATTTTTTGGCTCATAATAATGTGATAGAAGTGACTTATCGGAAGGTTCCGAATGAGATGCGTCACTCTTTTCGTCGTGTAATTGTGGTTCCTTTCGGGGTTCCCCGTCGAGTAGGTTATCTCCACTGCTCCTATCGCCATTGGTGCTGTCGCCACAGGTGCTATCGCTACTGCTGCTCTCGCTATTGCTGACTCCGCTTCCGCCACCTCCCAGGAAGGATTCCTCATTTTTGTATAGGGCATTTTCTACTATATTCTCGTCCAACAATTCGCTGTCCCGAATGAACGTCTTTTGGATTATTTTGTCCCCCTCGTCGAAGGTCACATCTTTTATATCCGTTGAAGGGTCATCCTGAAATGCATAAAAATGGGAATGACTAGTTGCGTCTGCTCTTGCGGAATGGAAATCATTTTAACAGTTTTCCTTCTTTTTTTAAATGTACTAATTCGTCTGTGCTGAATGCTTCGCTTGGCTGCTCGCACTTACATATTTACACTCGTACACATGATACTTTGTTATATTATATGTTAACAAAAAGAAGGATAAATTTTTAATGACGATATTTATTTCTTTGAGTTTATTAATGTACACGTCGTCAACAGTGAGATCTTTATCTTTTATTAGGACTTCGGCCACAATTCCTTCTCCTCGTATTTTCGTGTGGGTGCTCATTCCCTAAAAAATTAAAAGTTTTTTTTTTTTTTTTTAAATATTGCACATTTTGGCTTATCCTTTTGGTGCAAAATAGATAGAGTCTATTCTAATGTGCGCATTACATTTTCGTAATTTATTATCATGTAGTCTTCGTAAGTTCTTTTTTGGACAGGCAGGAACGTGATCTTTGTCTGCAGTTTTGCAAAAAAGTATGCGCGCATGTATTGGAATGTATGTGTACCCACAGAAAGGGGTGGGACCCATTCGAAAGGACAAAAGGGAGCATGCCACTTTGCGGCTAAGCGAAGAGCGTCTGTGTCCCCCTGCCGCCATTTTAAAGATAAAATTCTAACTTCTATCATCTCCCCCTCCTTCAGCACATGGATAGAAGAATTGACATAAAAGGGAGGTGCTAAGCTGATTTGAAATTTATTTTCATATTTCCCGATATTTTTTATCGTTATGCTTCTTTCGCTTTTCATATAAATCGGTGTTTCATTCATCTTTATCTCATCTTGCACATCCAAAATTATTTCATCGTTCATGCATCGTATAGGTAATGTAAAGGATTTATCCTGTAATGTAGAACGGAGTTTTTATTGATCGGAATGTCCGCTTGTGCAGTTTTACGGGGTGAAGAAAAAAAAAAAGGGGGATGGTCCAATTATGGAGGTGCTTTTTCTTTATGGGCAAACATGACGCAGCCCAGTTCTGCTGCAAACACGTTGTATACCTCTGTCTGAATCTCCAGATCATATTCGTAGTTTTCACACGACTGCGGGTAAAATTCCACCTAAAGTAAGAAGAAATGGTTGTATTATAGAAACGGATTTTTAACGAATCCTTTTAATTGTCACTCCGTAGGTTTATATGGTCGTTAGCGTTTCGCTTCTTCCCTCGCTTTTGTAAAAGTCTCATCTTCACAGGGTGTAATTCGGAAGACTGCCCTTCAATTAGCAAACATAAAAAAGTCATTGCGCTGTGTAAAGTCCCAACCTTGAAGGTAAATAGCATGCCGGGAGCAACCTAATAAAATGAAGTAATAGTGGAGATAATGCGAATAGAAACAAGTTGTACAAAAAAAAAGAAGAAAAAAAAAACATTCACATGCTGCACAAGGGAATTATTTAAAAGGTTTACCTTCTTTTTGACATCCGAAATGTACTTCACTTTGAAGACATGATTTTCTCCTAACTCGAACTTGAGGTTTCTCGCATTGGCATCGATATTTCTACAGAAATGAATTTTTAAGAAAAAATTTTTTGCAAAAATATTATCATCAGAAAGTGCCTCACATTTTGCTAACTGTTTTCCCGCACACTTCATGCGCATTCTCCGACTATGCGAAGACATGCAAAATGTTATTCGACACCCTCGCTGCAGAATTTGTTGCCCTTTCTTTACAACGGCCAAAGATCAACTTACTTTAACGTTATCACCCTTTCGTATTTCTTGAAAGGGGCATAAGAAGTGAAGGTAACGATGTCTGGGGTAATCTGAAAGTAGTTGCAAGAAATGTTATCCTTTAAGATGACCTTCTTTGTCATGTTCTCATTTTTTTTCCTGATAAATTCTTTTAAAGCCTTTTCTTTATTATGGACAAAGTAGGCGGGCCTCAAAAAAGGGGCACCCCCCCCTTCTTCCTCGTCACATTTATCATTTCTTTCCTTTTTGGTGCAGATCCCAAATTTGTTATCTTTCACCCCGCTGGTGTTGACTTCTTCCATTTTCAAATCATTTAAAAAGGGAGAAAAAGAGGTGAGCAAATGTCGGATTAGGGCACACTTCGCTTTCTCAATCAGTCTTGCGCTATGCCATTATGCTTCAACATCGCGGTGCATTCTGTGGGAACATTTTATCTCATGTGCATGTGTATTATTTCGCGCGCGTAGAGGCCAGGTATATAAGTAGGTCCCCTTTTCTTTGATGCTTCTCATGCAGTTAGACATGTGTAACGAAATAAAGAATGGACGAAAATGACAATTTTGAAGATATATAAAAGGGAAAAAATGCGAATTTTATCTTTATAGAAACATTTCACTGCTATTTCCCCCCTAAGATACGGTAACTGCGCAACTGATGAAATTCATTTTTACTTCCTAAATAAATGTTTTAACATTTCTCTCTTTCGCGGTCCGGTCCCTTTTTTTTTTTTTTTTTTTTTTTTCATTTTTGTCCATTTGAGCCGCACCATTTATTTCCCTTTTTCCTTAACATTTTTTTTTTCTTTGCACACTTGTAAAGTGTGGCAGATATTTTTCCTCACACGAATTGGGCATTGTCATCGAAGCAATATTCCTCACCACGTGGTACTTAATAACAAGTTTAACAAAATTGAAAATCCGCCAGAATAGTTAAGAAGAAATTACAAAAAAAAAGCAAATATAGTCAACAAAATGAACGACAACCCGTACATACCCGTTATCGAAAAATTAAATAGTGAAAAGAATCCCAATTTTTATATTTGTGGAAATGGATTTATAGCCCCATTAGACATCAAGAATTTGAAAAAAATTTCCAACACGGAAAAAAAAAATCTGCAGAGAGTTTTTAAGATGATGGACAAGGACAATACAGGAAAAATTTCCGTTTGCAATCTGCATGACATTTTGCATAAATATAATTACAAGATTTCCAAGGTTATGCCTCCTCCCGCTGTTTCATTTTGCGTTCAAATGAGCTACTTATTCTTTAGGAGTATACCCACTTTAGGCACTTCGCTTCTGCATCCTCATACAAAATGATGTATCAGCCATGGACGAATGAGTGTTTGTAGTGCTTTTCCTGCGTTGAGCATGCAAACGTTATAACTTTTGCCAATCGGCGTAGTGTAACTTGTCAACTGTGGATTACCCTCAAGAGGAAACGCTAGGCTGTGTCTCCTTGACGAAATTGAGGACGGAGAAAAAGAATAGGCAGACAAAAATGAGCGAATAGGCCGATAAAAAAGAATTTCCCCCCCTCTCCCCTCCCCTCCGCCAGAGCGAAGTCGAAAGAATGATATGGGAGTTCGATGACAACATGGACAACTGTCTAGACTATGATGAAATTTATTTTCTATACTTGCGGTGTGTAAACGACAAAAAGAATCAAATACCGAGTGATCTATATAACATAATTCAGTTTTTCATGTTCGACTACGAAATGAATGGTTACATAACTGTGGAGAAAACGCTGCAAATTTTGTATGTTCGTTTTGGTCGAGAAAAGATGGACTTGGAAGTCCAAGAAATTTTTGGAGACAAATATGAAGATGAGTTTGGGGTGGAAAAGCAGATATACCTGAAGGAGTACCTCGATAATGAAAAAAAGCGAATTCGAAAATTCAGGTTATCCTGCCTAACCGCTTCCGCGCGATTGCAAAAGTGAACCTGTTTGTTTGTTCAACCTTTTGTATGCATTGTCCAGCTGCGCGCATATATAGAAAAAAAATGTTTGTACATATATATCTATGTATTTTCCCCTTTTGGGGGGTCTCACTTTTTAACGCAGGACGGAAAATGACAAGAAAGGGGGAAAGACATAATTATATTTGTACTTACAGGCTAAGCAATGCCATCCATTTGTACAACCTGGAACGTTCACCTAACATAGTTTTATGTCAGCACGGAATCACTTCGCTGAATCTATGTTTGTATATTTTTCAAATTTTCATAGTCCATGACACCGTTGTTCTTCGAAACGAGTGCAGCGGATGTGCAGGTAACAGGGCACTTTTTTCCTTCCTTCTTCTCTAACTTAATCAAATTATCAGTTCTTCCTTTAAGCTGTTACAAATGGCACGCAGTAGCTCTCTGTTTATCCTCGTTTTTACATACACCCAGTAAAGCTATCATGTACTCGTCTGCCACACATGCACAGATATTTTTATTGCCTACATGCAGACACCATTATTCACTTTGCGCAAATTTGCAAACAGGCGTTTACTCATTTTTCTCTGCTCAATTTTAGAAATGTGTAGAGTTTACAACATACATTATTAAGATAAAACGGGACATTTAACTGTGGTCCATTTTTTTTTTTTTTTCTTTTTTTTTTTATGTACTTTTATGACATACGGAAAAAATACGTAAACATTTTACTTAACCTGGAACGTAAAATCGGGTACTAGCCAAATTGAAGAGTTCACTTTTTTTTCGAAAAAATGCAATTATGTAATTTTACGAGGTTGCATTCCCCTTAACCATTTTTCTGCTTTTTTTTTTGTTACATTTGTTCATTATTCTTCATTATTTATTTCACTCTCTGCCATTTCGTATGTGTTATAAAAATTTCACATGCAACATTGACAAACGGGGAAAGGCGTAATATAAATTCGGCCTATATGGTAACACCCAATTTTGCGCGTTTCTCGTTCCCCCCTGGGTTTCGTACCATCATATGCATACGATATTTATCCGCTCACAGGTCGTTCCTGAAAATTGCTGCCATGGAGACTCAAATTCGTTAAGCAGGTGTATATACGAGCCCGTATATGTGTTAGGTTATATGCATATCGATCTGCGTTTATTCACCTTTTGCAAGTTTACATCCACAGAAGCATCTCATGAAGAGAGTACTACCCCATTAGCATTTCTTTTTTTTTTTTTGCGTTTCACCCTTTTTTTCCCTTGGTGACGTCTAAATTAAGAAGTTACTTGATGCGATCATCGTGGTGAAAACGAGCTCTTTTAGTTTATATTTAAAGCTACCTTGTGCTTAGGATGGTGATTTTTTTTCGCCAATTTTTTTTCCTATTTTTTTTCTTGTTTTTTTTCCTGCCTTTTCTTTCCGTTTTCTTTTTCCTATTTCTTTTCCAGTTTTTTTCCTATTTTCTTTACAGTTTTTTTCCTATTTCTTTTCCTATTTATTATCCAGTTTTTTTCCTATTTTCTTTCCTTTTTTTTTCCTATTTCTTTTCCTATTTATTATCCAGTTTTTTTCCTATTTTCTTTCCTTTTTTTTTCCTATTTTTTTTCAAGTTTTTTGTTCGTTTTTTTTTTCCATTCCTGTTGCTCCAACACCCGTTCACACTCAAGTTTCACCCAAATACCCGAATCACGTGCGGACTTTTCAGCACATATACAACATATGATCGCCCTCCTTGCATGACGACAGTGCCCCTATACATGTGAAGCATCCCCTTTGAAGTTTGCATACTCCTTATGGGAAAGCTCCTCGACGTAATTTGTAACTTCTTCACGTAATTTGTAGCCTCTCCATGCATTACATAAGTGCTCCCCGTTTCTCCTCCTGTGAAGTGCGTAGATAGCTACAAAAATACAACAATAAAAATATCCCACTATGCTATAAGGAACAGTGTCAGATAAAAGGTCGAAATTACGAAGAACAGAATTTAATTCTCTTCCCCCCACACTCCACCATCTTAACTAACTTATGTTTTAGGAAAAATGGAAGAACCCAAAAAAAAGAGAGAAAAGCAATCTAATGTTGTCTTTAGATTCATTGCGACCGTTTACATTAATTTATTCCTACTGTTGGTAATGATACTTGGTCTTGGCTCGCAAATAGTATGCTTCTTTTTATTCTTCCCCCTGATTATATGCAACAAAAAGGCGCGCGTAACGATATTTGGCTACTGCTTTAGGATTTGTATGTACTTTAGTAAGTAAAAAATGGGGAGGCTGCTTAAAAGGGACCACGAGAGTGGGAGCCACAGTGAGAGAAGTGTAGAAGAGCTCCAAAAAAAAACATCCCCATGTGGAAGGAAAAAAAAAAGTGTGAACAGTCAACTTGCTCCACTGCACCAGAAAAGATAAAGCGCGAATCAACCATGCGTCTGTGTGTATAGGCACCCACATGATTGTACACCTTCATGTGTATTGCCACCCCTCATGCGATGGCGATTTCCTCCCCCTATTTCGACATAGTATTGTCCCCTTTGAACCCATTTTGGAAATTAAAAATCATCAGGAAACCGAAGAAGGGATATAAGACATCCAAAACTCTGTTATTTGTCAACCACTTGTCTTCTCTAGACCCGTGGATAGTTAATGCATGTACGCTGCAATGGAATTTGAAGTACGTCTTTAAGGCCTCCTTATTTCGAATACCCATTGGAGGACAGGCATTATACTTATCAGGAGACATTCCGATTTATTTTACCAAAGGGAAAGGTGGATGGGAAATTAAACCAGGAGGTGTAGCGGAGATTATGAAAATGTGTAAAGAGTACCAAGATATGAACATAGGCACAGTTGTATTTCCGGAAGGCACACGTTCTCTTACTGGACAGTTACAGTTTTTCAAAGCAGGTTTTTTTAAATTCGCAATTGAAAATAATTGTGAAATATTGCCATGTGCATTACATGCCTCTGGAAATTTGTGGAATGTCAAATCAAAACTGTTTGGAATAGGAACTGTGTATTTATCTTTTGGAGAGCCTTTTCATCCGGCCCCTGGAATGACTGTCGATGAGTTGAAAGAAAAAACGAGGAATGCCATTTTCGAATTGATTAAGGAGTTCCCCGATTATGATCCGGAGGTAGTAGCAGAAGGGAGGGGAAAAATGAGAAAGTGGTTAACTCTGAATTTGTGCGATTTGTAAGACATATTCACTACCGCCCATGTTCTGCAACACACTTATATATATATGTCTTTTTTTTTTTTTTTTTTTTTTGCATCCCCCCTAGACGGACAAGTTAGCAACCGAAATGACGAAATCGAGAGGACACGGTCTTTAGTTGTCGCGGCATTACGTTGTGCCTTCGCTGCGTTGTGTTTTTAA